CTCTCTCTCTCTCTCTCTCTCTCTCTCTCTCTCTCTCTCTCTCTCTCTCTCGCTCGCTCGCTCGCTCCCTTGCTCGTGCACGCGCGACGACATTTGCATCTCTCTCTCTCATGCGAGCGACGACATTTGCATCTCTAGGGTGAAGATGGTAGGAATGGATGGTATATTTGGCAGCTCTAGGTAGCTAAGCTGAAGAGGCTGTTCACTGTAGAAGGAATAATTTCAGCAGATCTTCTAGGTATTGCTTACAGCCCTTAAATTTTGGTTCTACGGAAAAACTCCAGTCAACCCCTTGTCTCCCTCCTCCCTCCCCCCCAACACACACACCCCACAAAGGACAAAGCTACAATCTATTCGTGGGGAGCAGCACGTGCTGGGAATCGGGCCCAGCGTCCCAAAGGTTGTGTTGCATTATATGCCCCTTTGGGACGCTGGGCTCAATTCCCAGCACGGTGGAACCCAAGGCAATCACTGCTGACATTCTTCAAACAGTTCTGTCATATCATATTATGTTTGTCCCACCGGGGGCGCTGGGCCCAGCGTTCAGCACAAGCGAAAGCTGGGTCATGGGCCCAGTACTTCCAGGTTGTTTGTGAGGATTCCTAGCCTCATGGTTCTTCATTCTGAAATGAAAGATTAAACTGTGGGGGGGAAAATGAAAAAACAAAGATCCGATTCTGCAATGATTTCTCTCCGGGTGCAGTTCCTCCAGGTGTCCACCTGCTCCAGATGTCTGGATCTGGATCGGGATCTGGGCAACAGAGGGCATCCCAGATGTCCAGCCCCATATCCCAAAGGCAAGGTGTTGCGCACCTCGCTGTTGAGGTCCAGAGGTCCTCCAGCCATCCATATGGACCAGATTTCTGGGCCTGGATGTGGTCCCTGACAATATGGACCACCGGACCAGATGTCTGGACCTGGATGTATGGACCTGGATGTATGGACCAGATGCTTGTCCAGGTCCACATCCAGGCCCAGAAATCTGGTCCATCTGGTCCATATGGCGCATAATGCACAGGCATGAGGACAATATGGACCTGGATGTGCGCCTGGATGTGGATCTACAGATCTCCAGTGGCATGGGCCAGAGAAAGGTTTTTTGTGTGCACCTTGATGTTCAGGTCCAGGTTCTCCGTTTGTCCATCCGGTCCAGATGTCTGGATGTGGTCCAGAACACAACCCAAGGTGTTCCGGAACTCCATCCCCCTATGACCCAGAGAAAAAGAGTGATTTGATAACCCCTGATGTGTGGGGCATCTTGTTGACGGTACAGGCGCACATGTTTACATCAGGGGTGTCGACAGACAAGGGCCTTAGCAGGGGTGTCCACAGCCAAGGGCCCCCAGCAGACAGCCCAGGAGGACAACCCGGGGTGTTAGAGAACCCCAGCCCTATGGCCGGAAGAAAAGAAAGCGATTGGATAATGCCTCTGCTATCCGGGTCGTCCTGTTGCTGGTACAGTCGCACACGTTTACATCAGGGGGGTGTGCACAGTCAAAGGGAGCTGGTTGGATGTGAAGCCGCAGGTACCCTAGATGCTTGCAGAAAGCCCAGGCAGCCTTCCTGGGCGGAAGAGGCAGAGGCACTTCCATGTCCTGGACAGGAGAGGCACTTCCATTTCCTTTTCCAGGACATGCCAAGATCAAAACACTGAATGTGACCGCCGGACCTGGTTTTCAGCACTTACAATGAAATTGTTCGCCTCTCTTCTTTTTTTTTTTTTTTTTTTYTTTTTTTTTTTTTAACCACTAGTACCTTTTCCCAAGTCGGCCTCGGGTGGGCCTCCGATCTTTTTTAGGAGGGCGAAACGAAACGACGGCTGCCGATGAGATTTATCAACAGTGGATGTCGTTGGGCCCCTGCCTCCGATTTTTAAGGACTATGGGAAAACTGCCAGTTTTCCCTATTTTTCCCGACATTGGCGGAGGTACTAGTGCTTTAACTGACTGTGACCACAAGTCGGGGAACTGTCTGCCATTAATAACATCGACAACAACTACAACTACCGTCTTCCCCCGAACACAATGCACCCTCATTTTGGCTGTATCTGGCCGGAAATATAACTTGTATACATTCATTTAAGGGTGCGTTATGTTCGGGGGAAGACGGTAGCTCTTCGTTCATCTAGTAATTTCTGAAATCAGACTCTGGTCCTTTGGGACATCCGTCAAAATTGGAACGATACAGAGAAGATTAGCATGGCCCCTGCGCAAGGATGACACACATAAATCGAGAAATGGTCCAAATTTCAAAAAAAAAAGAAAAAAAAAAGAAAGAAAGAAAGAAATCAGACTCTGAGGGGAACTAAAGCCCTCCATGTTCGCACCCGCACTACAACGATGTCGACTCCATGTTTGAATCAATACGACCTTCTTCCTGCAAATAGAATGCCTCATCATGAACATACAGTGGTAGACAAAGCTATTAACACTGTTATGGTTCTGGTCCAGATATGGTCATGATGCTGGCGCACAGTGTTCGGGTGAAGAAGGAAGGTAACTTCCAGGATGGAGAGATCCCATCTCTGAAGTGCGGAAAGATTGTGTCTGAACAGTCATGGAAGACTGAGTGCTGTGGTTTCATGTGACTCCTCTGGACCGATGTGATATCTTCTTAAAAAGGAAAGCCGAAGAAAAGGATTGGAGGTTAAACATTAAAAAAAAAAAAAAAATCAGAGAAAAACAAAGCAATCCATTTGTGAATCATAAGAGGGGCACCAGTCGTTACCGAATGAGAGAGTGGTTCCGATATCCCATCGTTGTCTCCCCTCTTTAACCGTAGGATCACGTCTATCCAACGCCAGATCAGCAAAACTGAAGAGAGGAGAGCTTTAAGGTTCAGAAATCAACAGCGCGTAAAAAAGAAACCATCGTGATGGTCACTCTCACAGCCCAGCGAGATATAGGAAGGACTTGAGTCACTCCGCTAACTTACTAAACCCTAAACCCTAATTCACAATCTGAACTGACTCCCCTTCCTCGTCCTCGTCCTCGTCCTCGTCCTCGTCCTCGTCCTCCTCCTCCTCCTCCTCCTCCTCGTCCTCGTCCTCGTCGTCCTCGTCCTCGTCCTCATCATAGTTGTCATAATTGTCATTGTTGTCATCATCGTCGTCCTCCTCCTCCTCCTCCTCCTCTACCTCCTAGTAATCCGTTTGCTTCTCGTCCTCGTCCTCGTCCTCGTCCTCGTCCTCGTCCTTGTCGTCATCGTAGTTGTCCTCATTGTCATTGTTGTCATCGCCGTCATCGTCCTCCTCCTCATCCTCCTCTACCTCCTAGTACTCCATTTGCTTCTCGTCCTAGTCCTTGTCCCCTTCATCCTCCTCATCGTCATCACCGTCGTCATCGTCATTGTTGTTGTTGTCCTCCTCCTCCTCTACCTCCTAGTACTCCGTTTGCTTCTCGTCCTCGTCCTCGTCCCCTTTATCATTGTTGTCATCGTCGTCGTCGTCGTCGTCGTCGTCCTCCTCCTCCTCCTCCTCCTCTACCTCCTAGTACTCCGTTTGCTTCTCGTCCTCGTCCTCGTCCCCTTCATCCTCCTCATCGTCATCGTCGTCGTCGTTGTCATCCTCCTCATCGTCATCGCCTTCGCCATCGTCTTCGTCATCGTCATTGTCGTTGTTGTCTTCCTTGTCCTCGTTCTCTCCTCTAACTCCTAGTAATCCGTTTGCTTCCATCGCTTTCACTGATCCTCCTTGGCAGCTGTGTTGTAGGACAAAAAAATGCCTCCACAGGACGAGTCTTGGCGGCTCTTGATGTCCGTGAAACGCGCAGCTCGGGAAAAAAAATTATGTCTGCCACCTCACCAGACTCAGAGATGAAGGTTCGATCGACATCTGCATTTGCATTCTACCCCACAAGTACGTCATCTGTCACATCAGCGAACGAAGTGCGATTGACATCGGCATTTGCGTTTGACTCGGCAAGCGTGTTTGTCACTTCATCAGACTCAGAGAGCAGATGAAGCTGTGATCGATAACCCTCATTTTTGCATTATTATCTTTTCCACACATGGCTCCTCAAGTCAGCCCATGATCTGTTAGTCAACAGAAATGTCTAGTTGATCCCAACGGATGAGTGAAATCTCTCTCGGCGTTATTTCCTGTCTGTCCCCGTTAACTAAGCTGACGCTTCCATTTTCGGTAGTTTACCCCCTCCATGTGGTGGAATGATACACACATGTGACTGCGCTATTCAGAGTACGAACCCCGATTGAAAAATCATATGCATACAATAGGGTTTCAAAAGACGGAAAAAAAAACCGCTGACACTAATCGATGACCGATGGCGGTATATCATTTGCTGCATCCTCGTGCTCCAATTTATTCGCGGCGAGACAGTCGTGACCAAATCTGACTGTGATTGCGGTAAGATACATCTCAGGAAATATCCAGGGTGAGCCACTGAGCCTACACTTAAGGCCACAACTGATGTGGAATGAGGACTCCACCAGAATATCGGCGTTTGTGTCTCGGAAAATCTAGTACTACCGTCTCCACCCGAATAGAACGCCCGAGAATTATCGCCGTATTTAGACTGGAAGTTGGCCCAAATACAGCTATAATGACCGGGCGCTCTATTCGGGTGAAGACGGTAGCGTACACTACACAGGTCACAACTGCTGCGGAACAAAGAGTTAGCCAGAACATCCATGTTTGTGTGTCTCCTTGTCTACTCCGGCGACCATGGATACTGGTCATCCTCCTCAACGTTCCTCTCCTCCTCCTCCTCCTCCTCCTCCTTCTGGTCCTCCCCATCCTCGTCCGCTTCGTCGTCCTCCTCCCCCTCTGACTGTGGCTCATAGTCAACCCAGGACTTCTGTCTGGACAGGAGAGCCTTCTTGGTCCGCCTGAGAGCAAACACTCTCCACCTCATCGGTTCCAACTCTTTGGGGTCCTTCTCTGCGATCTCCTCTGCTTCCTGCGCCCATGTGTCGAGGATGTTGCCCACGATAGATTCGGAGCTGTCCATGTTCACTTCAAACTCACCAATTGCATCGTACAATACTCGATAGAACCGTCCCAGCACCTCGTTCATGTACTCCTCCTTCCTCACTTTCTCATCGGTCTCACCGAAATTGAACAAACCCGCATTCAGTTGCATGAGATCCATCAGCTGCACATCCATCGCCGGCGGTCCATTTCCATTCCCAGGCACTGCTGCTAACTGTTGTGATGTTTCTACTTCCTTATTGGCATTTTTCACTTGAAGGAAAGGCGCCATAATGCTGGATCCAGTTGACAAGTTCTTTGTCAGTTTGCTTTCCCCTCCTGCTTCCACCCCCACTCCTTCCTCTCGACCAGACTCGATGTCCTCCGTAACCTCCTCGGCAATCGCGGGTATATGGAGAGCCGCAGAGCGAAGTGCCCGAAGCATACTGCTCCACCGGAAGGAAGTCTGTTCCAGAGGAATCTGGGCCACCTCGATCAACGATTCCAGCCGTTTGACGAGTTCTTCTCCCCGGTTGTCCGTGGAACTCAGTTCCTTCACCCCTTGCATGAGAGCAGGGATACAGGCATCCCAAACGCCGTCTTCGGCACCTTCATCAAAAGGCGCAGGGCTAAACGCTTGCTTGATATCCTCTCCTCTCAAAATGCGATTCAGAATTGCCTCGCTTTCGAAACCATCCATTTGGAGAAGCAGCCGCAGAGTGCTAGAACGCCTTTGCAGAGATTGTGGAACCAGTGACCGCTTTCTTCGACCTTGGTCCGGATCTCCGGCGGTTTCTAAGGCAGCAGATGTTGAACGCGAGGAGTCGCCAGGAGTCTTCGCAAAAGTAGGGAGGATACCTCCCGCAAGACCTGCGACGTCCTCTTCCCCTTCTTCATCCTCCTTTGCACTTTCCTCAGGGCCTTTGCTTCCCTTGGCCCCTTTCTTCCCTTTCGCCTTCGGCGTGACCACCGCGGTTTTACCACTTTTCTCTCCTGGAGTGGAAGTCGTACCTAGACGAATCGGCGTAGGATTTTGTTTCTGCTTCTTTGAGCTCTTTCTTTCAGCTTCCTTTTCTTTCTCTTCGGCAGCCTTGCGTTCCCTCTCTTGCACTTCCTTGAGCCTCTGTTCCTCAAACCTCTGTGTGTGGATAGCTTGGACTTCTGACGCTATCTGGGACATCTCGTAGTAGATGTCATCAGCATAGTAGACAGGAGGGAACATATCTACGTTCACCCGTATGAAGTACAAGGAGCACTCCTCATACTCCCACCATGCTTTGAAGGGGTCCTCCTTACCTTCCGCCCCGTCCTTTCCTTCCTTCGGCTCCTTGGTGTCCTGTGCTTTCTCTGTTTCCTTGACTTCCTGAGCTTCCTTTGTGGCTCCATCGACTTCTGCACTGACGTCTGTCCCCGTAGCAGCAGCAGCAGCAGCGGCACCAGAGGTGGGTGCAATGCTTTGATCAGCCCACTGTACTGCATCGCCCACCGTCTTCTCTTCTCCTCTTGCTTCAAGCAAGGACCGATCTGTTGTCGTGGAAAACTGTGCAGATTTGCGCCGCGCTGCTTCCTTCATCTGCAGCGATGGCCTCCTCGAGTTCATCACAAGGAGGGAAAGCCTTGATCTCCTCCTCGAATCGTCCCCAGTCAATGATGGTCTCTGCACATCTATACTAAGCATCAGGCTCATCAACGAGGAACGTCTGCGGGCACGCGTCGGGGTTCGCACTCTATCCAGCAAACAGTCTATTGTCTCTTCCACAGTGTGGATCTTCTCTCGTTTCTCGAGCTCTTCTATCAGATCCCGACGACGAACACTGGCGTATGGATCGTCATCGCCCACCATGCATGTCCATAGCATAATGCATGACACCCCACCCAGCAGAGCATAACCAAGAACGAGCAAAACGGTAGCAAACACCAGAGGAAACACCAGAGGAAACACCAGAGGAAACACCAGAGGGTCAAATCCATAATAACAGTGAACCAGTCTCAAGCATTTTCAACGTTCCGCAAAAAAATATGTTATGGGTTACAGTACTGTACAGCTTAGGTGGCAAAATATGAGGGGGCAGTGGAAGGCAAATCACATTCTGCAGCTATGTCTGCCACACAGCTGTGCTCAAAGCTATGCCGAGCACTTCCTTGTCTGCGTGTGTAGTAGAGAAGAAGTGAGCAGCAGACCTTACCCATGCAGTTGGTTGAGGGGCAAACTGGTTGGCACCGTCCTTCGGATGAGTCGGGATGACACCCCCTTAGCCTCGCAGCAGAGACGCTGAAGGCCCTCTATTTGGTTTTCTGCAGGCTGAAAGAGCCACTGCCAAGCGCAACTGTAGCGCGCGACCTCCATCTGGTGGGGCTCGGTGATAGTGCGCTCTGCGCATTGGCATGTCAGCGCTTGTAAGAGCGCCTATTCCAATCAATATGTGAGGTATCTCGAAGGGCAGTGGTTGGTGCCCGCCTCCGGGTATCAGTTGTGGGACAGTGGAAGGTGCCCACCTGCGACTGGGGGTAAGGCACACATTTTCAATTACAGTATCATCAGTTAGGGGGTTCTGCTGACAGCCAAGGGTTCAGTCTCTTGACAAGTCAGTGAAAGCCCGATGAAACGGTCTGACACAGCCCCCCCCTGTCTTTTTCTCCCCTTCCGCCTGCAATTCACTGGGGCAGTTCTCTGTGACCACATGACTGTTTTCCAGATTTCCACCAACCCATCAGGAGGACCAGCCCTCGACAGTTTCGCTCGCTCGTCCCACTGACGTCCTCACACCCAAATAGGAAGCCCGGTCACTATCGATGTCTTTGGCGCATCTTTAAGTCTAGATGCAGCGCTAGTGACAGGGACTTCTATTCGGGTGAAGACAGTACCGATGACTCAAGCCATTATCTGCGTTGAGGCTTGACCCAAAATCAAGTGGGCAATCACCCAGCCACACCAGCTGCAAAACGCTGCGATCAATTGCCAGTTGGCACAACCCTCCACAGCAAGAAAAGCCCCAACAAAACAAAAGTAGCAGTAGCTCTATCACAGCCAGAATGCACGCTCCAGACATGCAGCCGGCTCACAAAGAATTGCCTCGTGTACACCCAGATGCACGGCGACTCAGACCCCATCGGGCATCGGGCATCTAGATGGGTAGGTAATCGACCCCAAACCAAAGGGGACCATTACCAACCCATCTAGATGCCCGATGACTCAGACTATCATTTCACACCACCCTCGACAGCCAGGAGAGTCCCCCATGAAACAAAAGTCAATCACAACCAGGAATACAGTCTGGACGCTCTGCTGGGCTAGATGCATCGCAAGGCTGCCAATATGGCCCTGACCACTGGCCCGATGAGTCATTGACGGCTGCAATTGTGGATATACCATCATCTATTCTTCAATTCAATGGATGAAAACATTTTTCTTTCTATATTGAAAAGACAAGTTTTGTTAAAGAAAAGGGAAAAAAAAAAAAAAAAAAAGGGTGCACATTCTCCTTCAGGACGTCCGTTAAAAGGATTGGAACGATACAGAGAAAGAAGATTAGCATGGCCCCTGCTGTACAAGGATGACACGCATAAATTGAGAAATGGGACATCCGTGAAAATTGGAACAATATAGAGAAGATTAGCATGGCCGCTGCGAAAGGATCACACACATAAATCGAGAAATTGGTCCAAATTAAACCACCCGTACCTTTCCCCGCTTGAATGCGGGGAGGTCGGGGACCCTGCTTGACAAATGCCCGGTCGCTGCGTCAAAGGAAAAAAAAACAAAGAAAGAAGAAAAAAACAAATGAAATTCGAACAAAAAAAAAAAACGAAAAACAAAAGAAAGACGNTTTTGGCTGTCAGAGAACGATTCGAAGATAAGAATCTAGGCCGCAGAACTGAACACTTCGTCCTAACTTTGCATGAACGGAAGTGGAAAAGTGTGTCACCCCTCAAGTCAACTATGGATGAGTTGCTGCAGCGAAGTACTGAACATGGCCTGACCCCAACACAGATTCTGAACAGCTTTGCTCGTTCACTCCCTGATCCCCTGCGATCCCAGTTGTTTGCCCAGACTAAAGAAGCTGTCTCTTATACACATCTAGATGTGTATAAGAGACAGCACACACACACACACACTCTCCCCCCCCACACTCCTCCCTCCCTCCCGTTTCATTTCTTTGTTTTTCCTTTATCATTGTTTTTTAGTAGAAGAGTTCGTTTTTTTTTTTTTTTGGCTTTTTTATTCATTTTTTGTTTTTCGAAATGACATTAATCCCGCTACCGGTAGCTCTAGGCTCGGCAAGGCTCGGCATACCGGCAGCGGGAGGCTGGTGGTTTAAAAAAAAAAGGATGCACAATGCACATTGCGAAACAAATGCAGAAACAAATGCAGGAAATAGAAGACACAGCATGAGGCGGATCTATTGCTCCAAGACTGCCTCATGAACCACCCACAGAGAGACGAAAAAAGACAAACTGGGAGTCGTTGTGTTGTGAAGGTACAACACTTGGTGCAAGTCAAAACACACAGTCAAGTAGACAGACATGGTGGAAGGCAAAATACACAGGCACCGTAGTGACGAAGTAGCCATTAGCGAATCTTCCTTCTCTGTATTGATTCAATTTTAACGAATGTCCCCACGTTCAAACAGTTTAGCTGCACTGCACGATATGCGAGTGCTTTCTTTACACTTCCCCCTGTTTTCCCCTTTACTTGCGCATTACAGGGGTGTTTGCTCTTCTGCCTTTCTCCCTACGTTTTTTTCTTCCCTAACTATGTGTTTGCAAAGAGGAGAAAAATCTGCCCGTCATTTTTGGGCGTTTTTGGCCCTGTTATTTGTTTGGGGTGTTGCGTGCTTTTGAACGATTGAAAGTCATAGTAGGCGTCACGAGAGGAGCCCACAGATGTTGCTGCTGGGCTGTTCCTGCACGAGTTGGGTATGGGTTATAACTTATAAGCTAGGCTACCAGCATGGTAAAAGGGCCTTTACCCGAGTCAGACCCCATAAAAGTAAAGCAGCGTGAAGGGGTATCTCGCCAGAATCCAGAAACGTGAAAAGCAGATCAACA